ATGTAGGACAAAGAGGCAGGAGAACAGCAGAGCACTTCCATGGGCATCAATACACAGACAGAAGACATGATGAAAACTCTTTAATTACATAGCATATGGAATTGACTTGATCATAGTTTTAACTGGGAAACTGTGAGCATTCTAGATCAGAGGTCCCCAACCTTTTGGGCACCAGGGACCAGTTCCGTGGAGAAAGGTTTTTCCGTGGGCTGGAGAGTCCGTGGTTTTGTGTGCTGCCTGCATCCCACGGATGGGGCTTTGCTTGTTTGTGTGGACCGGTTGCTGGCATGCCACGGCCCAGGACCGGTCCACGGACTGGGGGTTGGGGACCCCTGTTCTAGATCAAGCCAAGTCCAAAAATGCTAGAGAATTCCTGGAGGCCTGGCGCTTAGACAAATAAGTTAGCAACAAGCACATAGAGATAAACAATATCTACATACTATTCAAAGACGACAACTAAAAAGCCAAAAAAAAAAAAACCCAAAGAACAAAACACCTCCTTATCAGCAATCAAGATTACCACCAAGATTAACACTAGATCAACAATCAAGAGGTAAAAAGATACACCAGTCAAGGAACTACCAACTCAGACAAACAATCAAACAGTAAACAACAGGGAACTATCAAGACCAGGGGTGGGGAACCTTGACTCTTTTATGATTTGTGGACTTCAGGAATTCTGGGAGTTGAAGTCCACAAGTCATAAAAGAGCCAAGGTTCCCCACCCCTGACCAAGACCATACCCACCACCTCTGGTAGGGCAAGCCACTTATATAGGAACAGACAGCAAACCCCACTCCTTTCTAGCACTGATGATGTTAATTAGTTGGGTAATGAAACATCCGCAAGGAAAAAAACCAACCTCAGAGAACATCAAGGACCCCATGGTAGAATCTTTAAGTCTGGCAAGATTTTTCTATAGGTATGAAACTCAGACTGGAAGAATTTCCATGTGCTATTCTTGGCTTTGGGGTCTGACAATACTATCCTGGCTCTCTGCGGAATCATTCTTTAGTAGAAAGGCAGGATATAAATTAAGAATTATGTTTATATGTGTGTATCACATGCTGTGCTGTTTTTCCAGGTTGACCTTAAATTGAAACCTGGCTGTGCAGAAGTCAAGAGTTCCAGCTTTTCGCCTGGGCTTCTCTTAGAATTGCTATTAGCAAACAGCGGCAGCTTTGTCTATAAGAAGACCATTTCTGATTTGCTTTCTGGTGAATCACTCTCTATTTACAGTCAGGTTGCAAGCACTCCTACTTATATCTCCAAAACAGCATGGATGATATACAAAGGGAATGCATCTGACTATTTGGGAAACCACAAGTCTGCAAAGGTTGTGTACCAAACACTTTGGGAGAGGGGGAAAAAAGGCAGAGATGGGAACACATGGTGTCTCAGATATGTCTGAACATAAACTCTAATGACCCTACCCAACATGGTAAAAAGTGAAGGATACTAGGAATAGCAATATCTGGAGGATTCCAACTCTTATGGTGGCTAGTAATAGCAGTGGTGGTTGTGTGGGTGTGTGTAGAAAAACAACTGATGGGAGACAGATTGGGAAGTGGTGTGATTAACTGATTAGAATATGCAGGAGCACTGCACCAGGCAACTTTCTGCTGCAATGTCTTTTTGTGTGTGATAATATACACAGCATGAAAAAAAGCCAACTGAATGTATGATCGAAGGAAAATAAAATAGAATAGAACAGAGCTGGAAGGGACCTTGGAGGTCGTCTAGTCCAGCCCTCTGCTCAAGCAGGAGAACCTATACCATCTCAAACAAGTGACTGTCTAGCTTCTTTTTAAAAATCTCCAGTGATGGAGCACCCACGATTTCTGGAGGCAAGATGTTCCACTGGTTAATTGTCCTCATTGTTAAGAAGTTTCTCTTTAATTCTAGGTTGCTTCTCTCTTTGATCAGTTTCCAACCATTGTTTCTTGTCCTTCCCTCTGGTGCTTCGGTGAATAATGTAACCCCCTCTTCTTTGTGGCAGTCCCTCAGATACTGGAATACTGCTATCATGTCTCCCTTATTTCTTCTTTTCTTTAGACTAGCCAAACCCAAGTCCTGCAGCCATTCTTCGTATGTTTTAGTCTCCAGGCCTTTGATCATCTTAGTTGCTCTTCTCTGATTTTTTTCCAAACTCTCAACATCTTTTTTGTGATATGGTGACCAAAACTGGCTGAGTATTCCAGGTATGGTCTTACTAGGGTTTTATAAAGTGGTACTAATACCTTGTGTAATCTTGATTCTATGCCTCTGTTTATGCAACCCAAGATTGTATTAGCTTTTTTGGCTGCTGCTGCACACTGCTGGCTCATAGTTAAGTGATCGTCCACCAGGACTCCAAGGTCCCTCTCACAGTTACTTTTTCTAAGCCAGGTCTCACCCAATCTGTATTTTTACCTTTGATTTTTCCTGCCTAAATGTAAAACTTTGCTTTTCTCCACATTGAAACTCATTTTGTTAGATAGGGCCCATTGTTTAAGTTTGTCAAGATTTTTTTGGATCCTGAGTTTGTCTTCTGGGGTGTTGGGTACTCCTGCCAGTTTGGTGTCATCTGCAAATTTGATGAGTTCCCCTTCTAGTCTTTCATCTAAGTCGTTGATGAAAATATTGAAGAGTACTGGTCCTAAGACGGAACCTTGTGGTACCCCACTGCTTTGGCATGATCTGTTTTTAACAAACCCGTGCTGGCTTCTAGTTATAACTTGGTTTGCTTCTAGTTATTCGCAGGTTTGTTTTTTTATTATCTTTTCTAGGATCTTCCCAGGTATTGATGTTAAACTGATTGGTCTATAGTTTCCTGGGTCCTTTTTTTTCCTTCCTTTCTTGAAGATAGGAACCACATCAGCCCTTTTCCAATCCTCAGGTACTTCCCCAATACTCCAGGATTTTTTGAAAGATATGATGCAATGGTTCTGAGATAACATCCTTCAGAACTCTGGAACGTAATCTGTCAGGCCCCGGTGATTTATATTCGTCAAGGTTGGATAGGTGTTTTCTTACCATTTTCTTGCTTATTTTAATTTTTGTTTCTAATTTGTATTTTGCTGTGGGGTATTTTTGGTACGTTGGGCTATAGTTTCTTTTTGTATGAAGACTGATGCAAAGTATGAGTTAAGCAGCTCTGCTTTCTCCCTATTGCCTATTTTTTCCTAGCCAACCTCTCTCTTTAGTGGACCTACAGTTTCCTTGACTTTTTTCTTGTTGTTAATATGTTGGAAGAAACTTGTTTTTATTATCCATGATTTTTGTCTTTGTTCATTCTGAGCCTTTGCTTTCCTGACTTCATCTTTGCATGTTCTGGCTGTCTGCTGATAATCGGCCTTAGTTATGTTCCCCTCTTTCCATTTTTTATATTTGTCCTTTTTGTCTTTCAGTTTGTCAGAGAGATCTTTGTGCAGCCATGCTGGTTTCTTCTTGAATTTCTTGTTTTTCTTTTTCAGTGGTATTGTGTTGGTCTGGGCTTTTATGATTGCATTTTTCAGAGTTTCCCATCCTTCTTGGGTTGTTTTCCCCTTTAGGGTTTTCATCCATGGGATCTTTCCTAGGTTCTCTCTGAGTTTGTTAAAGTCAGCTCTTTTGAAGTTCAAGACACTGGTTTTCTGTTGCTAGTGTTTGCATTATATTAAATTCCAGTATGATGTGGTCACTTTCGCCCAAGGTTCTGGCAACTTCAACTCTCTATATCACTTCCTCTCTATTAGTTAGAATTAAGTCCAGGATGGCTTTATGTCTAGTTCCCTCCTCCTTGTCACCTTTTGGATGACAAATTTGATTGATTAGAAATCTGTTTGATCTCCTGCTCACTGCAGAGTTTGTCTCCCAGTTGATATCTGGATAGTTGAAGTCTCCCATTACTACTGTGGTATGCTTTCTACATACATTTGTTAGCGGGTTGGCAAAGAGTTCATCTATTTCTTCTGTTCTTCTCCACCTTTAAGCATTAAATCAGATAATGTGCATAAATGGTTCAACCTCACTACACAAATTGGGCAAAATGAGGCCATCAAGGATCAGGTGTATAGGTAGTCCTTGACTTACGACCACAATTGAGCCCAAAATTTATGTTGCTAAGTGAGACATTTGTGTGAGTTTTGCCCTGTTTTATGACCTTTCATGCTACAATTGTTAGGTTAATCACTTGCAGTTGTAACCCAGCTGGCTTCCCCACTGACTTTGCTTGTCAGAAGGTTGCAAAAGGGGATCCCATAACCCTGGGACATAAATATGAATCAGTTGCCAAGTGGCTGAATTTTGATCACATGAACATGGGAACGCTGCTATGCTTATGTAGTGTGAAAAATGTCCACAAATCATTTCTGTCAGTGTCGTTGTAACTTCAAACGGTCATTAAATGAACTGTTGTAAGTCAAGGACTCCCTTGTATTGGCGGACCCAGAATATCTGCATGGTTGTCTGCTCTAAATATGTGGATCCACTCGTGAGAAGGGTTTGCAGATAATGAAGTGTTTTGTTCTGAAAGGATCACATAATTAATGCATCTGTAATGGCGCTGCAACCATGATCTGTCCAGAATCTTAAGAGCAGCAACGTCACACGCACGCACGCACACACGCACACACACACACACACACAAACACCGCAAATCTCAGAAATAAATGCACATCTCTAGAAAAACCTGCTCATTCTTGCTTTTGGTAAAAATAGAGTGGAAGAATTTGGGCTTACCATATGCCAGCAAGAAATACAAACAGAACTAAATATACAAATAATATTCTCAGTCTCATTACGATTGTCTGGCTGGTGCCGATGGAGGGAGGGGAAAGGGGAGTTGTGGGTTCTTGCATTGGGGAATTTTAATGTTGTAAGCCACCCAGAGTCACTGTGGTGAGTCAGAGGGGGACACAGAAATTTGTTCCATAAGTAAATTATCCACCCATCCACCCACTCCACATAGAGGGAGACACAGTTACATTGCAACAGAGACCTTCACAAGAAGAATGCCAAGGAACATTGAACAGACTTACTAGTGGAAGACAAACAATTTCAAAGACAGGGTGGCATGTAGCTACCTTGAAATAAACCACCTGAAAATAAAATGGAAACAATTTTTATGCAAGGTACAATCATGTCTCACCTGGTTTAATTTTAACATTTAGATTGAGAGGCAGAGTGTCAGACCCAGCCCAAGAATGTCATAGAACAGTGTTTCTCAACTTTCAATGGAAGGTTGAAAATATGTGGACTTCAACTCCCAGAATTCCATGGCTGGCTGGGGAATTCTGGGAATTGAAATCCACACGTCTTCAACTTGCCGAGGTTGAGAAACACTGACATAGAACAATCCATCCAACATTTGGTTGTTTATCTGCTCACACCCAATAGACAGAATCTTGCCAGACTAAACCCTTGTGGCCAGTGGTGAACAACTGATTCTCTGTGTGGACACCACTTCCGGAAGTCCATTCTGGGCCTGGGCCTCTGAGGCCCAGAACAGACTTCCGGAAGCAGCGTCCACGCACTTCGAGCAGGCCGTTCTGGGCTTGGGAGGCCTCCTCCGGGCCTCTGAGACCCAGAATGGACTTCTGGAAACAGCATCCATGTACTTTGGGCAGGCCATTCTGAACCTGGGAGGCCTCCTCCGGGCCTCTGAGGCCCAGAACTGGCTTCCAGAAGCAGCATCCATGCACTTCCGGAAGGCCTTGTGAAAAAGGGATAGGGCTTCAGTGGGCGCCATCCAGTTGTGGGATTCAACCGGTTCACTAAACTCAACAAAAAATTAGCTACCGGTTCTACCAAACTGGTGCAAATTGGCTGAATCCCACCCCTGCTTATGATTCCCAGTCTAACGAATATAATCTGGGAGATTCTAGGAAGTGGCTATCCTGACTCGCTTCCTCTGCTTCCTATCTAGCCCTAGCTTTTGCTCCTCTTGTCTCACCCCCAACCCCTTCCCTTGAAATGTGCTTTCTCCATCCTGGAAAACTTCACTGTAGCCCATCACATCACTTCCTTCTTCATGTGCACAGTCCATCACATAGAGAGTTAGAGGAAGAGAAGGGGAACTGGGTGGGTAGAGAGATAAGGACTGAGACTGAAATTGAGATTATGATATACATAAAATTAGGAATGGCAGAACGATTAATTGGTCAGGCGCCTGATGCTGCAAGTAAGCCTGTCTGATTTCTTGGAATCAGTGCTTTTCAAAACAATAGAATGGAATGGAATGGAGTAGACTGGAGTGGAATGGAATGGAGGAATGGAATGGAATGGAGTGGAGTGGAATGGAGTAGAATGGAGTGGAGTGGAATGGAGGAATGGAATGGAATGGAGTGGAATGGAGTAGAATGGAGTGGAGTGGAATGGAGGAATGGAATGGAATGGAGTAGAGTGGAGTGGAGTGGAATGGAGTAGAATGGAGTGGAGTGGAATGGAGGAATGGAATGGAGTGGAGTGGAGTGGAGTGGAAGAATGGACTAGACTAGACTAGACTAGACTAGACTAGACTAGACTAGACTAGACTAGACTAGAACAGAACAGAGGTGTCACTGCCGGCCCATGGGCTGGTTGCATCATGCAGAGGCGGCACCCACCCCAGCTCCAACAATGCAAAAAAAGTTGCAATATGTCATGACACATCCCATGACACAGCGAGTTTGACACCCATGGAATAGAAGATGGGGATAGGATAGGATAAGATAGGACTGGACACACAAGGAATTTGTCTTTGTTTCCTATTTTGGAATGTGACAAAATATCCCTCTAGCGTAAATGAATAATAGTGAAGCCATACAATGGTCATCTCAGCCACTTGGAGCAAACAGGCAAAACTTGGCAAACTATATTTTCTCTCACATCAGAAGGACTTGCTACGCACAGTTCAGGGAACCGAATACTATCTGGACATCAAAAAAAAAAAAAGTTTGCAAACCCTGGAGAATCAGAGCAGCATGAGTGTTGCTTATGTTTTATCAGGCTTTCAGTTTTGAAAACAAGACTCCGTATAAAGTTGAGGACTTCTTCTAATAGTAGCACAGTTAAAAATATCTTGCCATGAATCACTGCGCGAAAGGTCTTCTTAGTTCTCCTCTGGCTTTTGCAACAGTAAGCCTGAATTAACAGGGTTTGAAAGCTCAGAAGGAAGAACTGCTTTGGCACATTAACAGTCTAACTGCTGTGCTTTTCTTCTAATAATAGAGTTTTGATTGCTCTACTGAGAAAACACAAATAGCCCTTATTCATTCTGCTTGGGCTCAATATGAGACACCCAACAATTGGCAGACAAGAAAAAAGAAAAAAAGCTCAGAATCTTGAACAATTCCTATATTTTTCCACCCAAATTCATCCATCAGTTGCTTAGTTATCTAGCCTTCTTAGGAACAGCTGATGGTTGGATGGCAACTTCACTGCAGATACTATCCCTAATGCAAATTGTGTCAGTCCTCCGAAGCCAAGAAAGATACAGAGAGTTATTTCTAAGCAGTGTCCTTTATTGTCCTCACCTGTACAAAGAAATCTCGCCAAACTCAAGCAACGACTTGCATCATGAAAGATATACTCTGAGTATTGCTAGGAAGGAGCCTGGAGAGGCTCGGTGGCCTAGAGGTGAAGACGCTTGCCTCCCACTCAGAAAGTTGAGAGTTCAACAAAGAGGGCACAAAGAGAAAATATCTGCTGCGAACTCTGCATAGGTGTCAGGAAGGGCAGCCAGCCAGTAAATGCTCAGCTCCATCCAGTCACCCCGACTCCCTCCGGAATAAAGGGATTAAAGGATCATAAAAGCAAAACAAAACAAAAAAACACTAGGAAGGAGCCTGCTTAACTCTCTTTCTCCCAATGAAACTATCTAAACTTCACTGTCTCTTGGACCTCTGGAATGCAACCCCTCCCTTCTGGGAATCCAGGCTACTTTCTACCACACTTTGATTATCAGTTGTCTCTGGAATGCGTGCAAGCTGCCTTTCCTCTCCATCAGACCAGGTACATTCTCTAGGCATCCCTAGAATGCGGGCTAAGTTTGTGAAGTTTCAACAAACCATCGAAGGACTTCTTATATAAAAGAAACCACTTTAGAACCATAATTCTTGGCTACCTTTCACACCTACTCTCCCTGTGTCTTGCTTCCGAATAAACTTCACTCCTGCTTCAAAAATAACTGTCCTGGATTCTTTCAAACCCAGCTTGGAACAGACCTAGATTTTCTTCTACAGATAGTCCTCGACTCACAACCACAATTGAGCCCAACATTTCCATTGCTAAGCAAGGCAGTTGTTAAGTGAGTTTTGCCCCGCTTTATGACCTTTCCTGCCACAGTTGCTAAGCAAATCACTGCAGTTGTTAAATTAGTCACACGGTTGTTAAATGAACCTGGCTTCCCCCATTGACTTTGCTTGTCAGACGTTGGCTGAGAAGGTAACAAATGGTGATCAAATGACCCTAGGACAGTGCAACTGCCACAAGTACATGCCAGTTGCCAAGCATTCAAATTTTGATCGTGTGACCACGGGGATGCTTCAACAGTTGTGTGAAAAATGGTCATAAGTCACTTTTCCCAGTGCTGTTGTAACTTTGGAGAGTCACTAAATGAATGGCTGGATGCTGAAGACCACCTGTAACAGTTCTACGTATCTTCATTTTATATGTACATGTTTCCAAAATTCCCGCAGTTTGACAACTGTCCAGGTAGTGCTTGGCAGGATCAGGAAACCAACCTCCAACATTTAAGCTTCAAGACTGACTTTCAAGCAAAACCCCCAAAAGCAAGAAACTATCTGGTTGAAGGTTGGAGACTTGCTTCGGTGACATCCTCAATCTATTTCTCAAACAAATAAAGAGCTATCACAAAGAAGGGGGAGGGTTGACCTATTCTCCAAAGCACCTGAAGGCAGGACAGGAAGCAAAGGAGAGAAACTGACCTAGGAGAGAAGCAATCTAGAACTAAAGAGAGATTTCCTAACAGTGAGAGAAATTAACCAGTGGAACCACCTGCCTCCAGATGTTGTGGGTGCTCCATCACTGTAGGCTTTCAAAAAAAAAAGTCCGGACAACCATTTGTTTGAACTGCTATAGGATCTCCTGCTTGAGCAGAGGATTGGACTAGAAGACCTCCAAGGTCCCTTCCAACTCTATTATTCTATGTCAGTGGTGGCGAACCTATGGCACGGGTGCCAGAGGTGGCACGCAGAGCCCTCTCTGTGGGCACGCACGCCGTCGCCCCAGTCCTAGGCCTTCAGCTGGGTTTTATAAAGCCTTTTCGCTTTAGGCCTCTGCCGCCGTGTGCAAAAAAAAAAAGAGGTTCAATCAATCAGTCAATTTCAACTTCTTGTGGGGGAAAAAACAAGATCTCGCAAGGTTGGAATTGATTGATTGAACTTTTTAGTCCCACCCAATCTGCCGTTACCATCGCAGCCACGCTCACCCATGGGCCACACCCAGCCAATGGGCCACACCTACCCAGCACCCAACGATACATAAGTGGGTTTTGGGTTGCAGTTTGGGCACTCGGTTTCTAAAAGTTTCACCATCAATGTTCTATGTTCTCTCGGGGTCTACTGCTACCTCCCTCCTGATCTTAGGTGGGGTGATACTAATTGCATAAGCGACTGTACGCTTATGCAATAACGTCTGTTGCCCTGCCTGCTAGTAGTTATAGTTGGAAAGTCTCCTTCTACTATTGTTACAAACTGCTTACTCCCTCTCTAGCTCAACCAAATGCTTCTCCATCTGCTCCTGGCTAAGTCTCACCCATTTCAAATTGATTAATTCCAAAGAAAGTAAAATCCTTTTTAAGTAAAACTTAATTCTTGATGCCCTCGTGGACTTTTTCTCCCATCCAAAATCCAACCAGACCAATTCTTCTTAGCTTCCAAGCCCAGGTAAGTCCTTCAGGGAAGATTAATCATGAAAAAAAAAAACCTGGAAGGCTATGAAAATTAAATGCATTCCATATAGCTAATGGCCCAAGTGAATAATGGTTCTCTTTTCATCCTACCATTAGGTTACAATGGGCCCTATCCAACAAAATGAATTTTCATGTGGAGAAAAGCAAAGTTTTACATTTAGGCAGGAAAGATCAAAGGTTTAAGTA